AACAAAGCACAAACAAGCCCTCCAAGTAAGCAGCTCCTTGAACTTCTTGGCAGCTGCGACCTTAAATCCAGATTTGTGTCTCCGACAGCTAAACCACCAGTGTTAGAACGCCCATCTAGAGAGTTCCTACAAGTAGATGTTGCCGTTGGGGAGGTTGTTCCAGCACCAATATCAGCTTTTGTTGGCAAATTCGTGCCCTGTATGTTGGCAGTACTTCCAGGTGCATTGATGAAGCCACTGTCGAACTTTGACATGATTCCAGGATCTGCAGGGTTTATACTAGTGCACCGGATATAAAGGATGAAGACAGAAAACACCTGACAGAGTTCACACAAGTAGAAATTATGACAAAGACATAAATTCCTTCAAATAATGACAGAGAAATACAATGCAGGTGCAGTTTGGCAGGCTTACCACAGTAGTGTAGATACCAATTACAACATATTGTAGGACTTGCTTCCCTAGAAATGGTGCGAAGAATGCATAAAAAGCAATCACCAGAAGGAAGAAAACCATAATCGCAATGATCTGTTCCATGAGACATTAAGAAATTTGTTATTCCACTGTTCACAAAAATGAAAAAACAGAATGGCTTGGATAAGTCTGTGTTTTATTATCAGAGAATGATGATCTGAAGCAAATGGCTGGCTGACAATATAATTATATTAATATGTAATGTTGAAAAACAAGGTGCATACCTATAACTTTCTACCTTGATTACAATGCCTTTGGAGTCTAAATTGGTAATTTCCTTAGTAGTCTGAAATTTTGTCAACGGTACTATAGCCCAAATGCAGTATTGAGAACTCTTTCGTTTAACCCAAGTAAGTATTGAGAAATAGTTATATTAACAGGATAAACTTTTAGGAATCAATCAATATCCATTAGAGCACCACGGTTTTGTATTTGTGGAATATATAAAAAAGATTCACTGTCAACAGGGTAAAGTAAAACAGGACCTGGGCCATCAGAGAGCAGGTTTAATCATCAAACTAACAACATGATCATCAAGCCATGCTTACTGAATGAGTTTGCAGGTGTTTCAGACTTTGAGGAGAAAACCAAGTCCTAGAGATAGACAGCAGGTTTTTGTATAGGGGTGAAGAAAGGAAACAAGAGTTAGCAGGAGGACCACCGTCGCGGGTATTGCACCAAATATTATTTAGTTTTGTAATAACTCCACGTTATTGAAGCACATATCTCTTCCTGTGCACAGTAGCACGTACGGAATGAAACCGTGATAAACTACGCAGATGAGTTCGCGAAACTAATCCGCAGGTAAAATTCCAAGTAGGAGTGGTGGCACCGTGAATGATTCGCGAGGATCGGAAGCGGGGAGGAAAGCCATCGAGACCGCACCTGGAGCGTGTGCGCGGGGAGCTGCCATCCGTTCTTCCTCGCCATGGCCGCCGCCGCTGCTCCGCTCGCCTCCCCCTCTCTCTCTCCCTTTCTCCAGTCTTCTCTCTCTCTCCTCCACAAGGCCACGACACAAAGGTTTGCCCTGCTTTCTTGGGAGTAGTAGTTGAAGTCAATCAATGACGAAGACTGACTCTCTCTCTCTCTCTCTCTTCATTTCTCTTTCACTGGCTCTCAACTCATTTCCGTTGCTGTTTTGGTGCCGGTTAGTTGGGGATCGATGAAGACTCGAGTGCGTTCGAGCATGCTGGAAAGCAGGTTGGCTCCTATGGTGCAACACCTTTTGTTTGATTTTTATGTTCCTAGTGAGTCAGGTTAGAAGCCTGTTCGTGAGGTCGTATCGTATCGTGGATTATTTACTGTTGGCTGGTTTGGTGTGAGAGAAAAACACTGTTCCCGGCTGAAAATTTATGATCGTTTACGAGCAAGCGAACAAGCTGTAGGTTGGATTTGTGTTTGATTTGGTGTACGGATGGATAGGATGACCTTGCATCTGGATACGGTGAAGTTACCTCATGTTTCTCTTTTCGGCATTCTATCGAGCACTTGCTAGGCGCCGGTGAGGAACACGAGCAGGACGGAATTGCAAAAATGACACTCGAAAGGTTAACTCCTGGATTACGACGATACTCAGGTGGATGAGTCCATCTATGTCTATGAATGTGGATCCAGTGTCAAATCTGCAAACGACCGATGTTTCGAGTCCCATTTTTACAAATCGCCCAGCAGGACGAGCAAAGGCAAGTTCGGCGGGATGCAGAGAGGAAGAATGAGAGCACGCGAGTGAGAGAGAGGAAGAGCAGAGCAGCTGCTCCTCATTCTTGTGTGCGCCGCGGGTGAGTGTAGGCCGCCACAGCGAGCGCCGCTGCCCCGCCTCACATGGACGCCGCCACGGGTGACGCGCGCGCGCCGCCGCCCCGCCGCGTCCACGTGCGCGAAGAAGTCGATGAACCCCGGCCCGCCCGCGCCCGCGCTCTGGTCGCCCAGCCTCGCGGCGACAGAGCCCTTCTTCTTCTAGAACACGCGGCACAACACCCGACCCTCTATGGGCCGCGACACCACTGCGTCGTCGGCGTTGCCGTCCTGCTCCGTCCCGTGCCGTGGCGACACGGGGGCGAGCCGCGCAGCGGTCGACGGCGGAGGCGGAGGCCGGCGCTGGTGGACGACGTTAAGCGTCGGCAAGCGCCGCCCGCAGCCTCGGGTCTAAGGTGGAGCCTAGCTCATGGAGAGCCGCATGGGCGTTCGCCCCTCGCCCGACGTCGTCAGCGCGCCGCCGGCCCCAAGGCGTCCAAGAAGAAGAGGGTCGCCTTGCGTCGGTGAGCGCTTCACCCTAAGCCGGGAGGTAACTTCACGCCGTGTGTGAGCGCTCGAGCGAGACTGGCCCGAGAGAAACGAACCCTTTGGCGTTTCCCCCGGTGCAGGAGAGAGAGGGAGTTTTGCATGCTGGGAGCCGGGCCGATAAGACTATCTTCAACAACAACACCCAAAATACAAGATCCATTTAACGTTTGGGTAGCGCTATAGCCAAAAGGTTCGATACCCATTCGACGTCTTCTCCAACAACAGAACCCAAAAGAGAATCATTTCTGCAAATTTGTTTTCAGGAGAGAGGATATTCATATTTGGGTTATGCCTCTTAGACACCTAAAATAAGTTTCCTGTATAGGTACTCTGTTGAAGACTGATTTTAAATCTCCTACTGTCTATTTTGGGTTTGGATGTCCATATGAGTCATCTGTTGGAAACCGTCTAGGTGAATCAAACAAACCAGGTTGCAGGGAGCGTAGGCCACCCTTGGCCCTATATCAAACAGGCCCTTGAAGAACTGCCACCGGCAACGCGGCTTTTCAGCTTCTTGTAAACCGGTAGCCACGATTCTCGTTTTCTCACCCTCTCCTCTAATGATTTCGCATTCACTACGGTTTGAGAGAAGAGCATGGCTTTCCTTGAATTGAATTACGTAAAATAAATTAATACGTATATGATTTGGTGTGCCGCGGTCCATACATGTACGCCCAAATCGACACCAGACCATACGCAAATACAATAATGTTGCTTGAGCGCAAAGCGTGCAGGGAATCATGCTCTCCGTACGCATACTCAATTACAAACTCATCCTGAGCCGGTGAGTGCAGTGATCAAGACTGAGAGCCCAACGATCCAATTCAGAAATCACCCCATCAGGCCTCGGCTCATCCGAGAGAATAATTGAGGTGAGTATGTTACGTGTACTGCAGGGAGGAAGGAGTAGATTAGATGAATGGGTGCAAGAGCTAGGGAATTGAATTGAATGACTAGGGAGGAGTTGATGGCACCAATCAATCACCTAAATGCCATTGCAATGCAAGCCACAACCACTTCTTCTATCCATGGGTTCCTTTAGTTTTTTTATCCTTTGGTACCATCTTGTTCTTCTAGTAAGACACCATTGGTGGATGTGGTTGCCAACGGTGCACCGAAATAGGGTTTGTTTAGATCCCAGGACTAAAAAATAGTTCACCTTATGAAAATAGATTAAACAGGAGCTAATTATAGGCTAATAAGGGTTAATAGATTTTAACCACCAATCAGCCCTCATTAGCTCTTATTAGCCCAAAATTAGCTCACATTTAGGCATTCTAATTGATATAAAAAACATAGGCTAATTATTAGCTCCTGGTCCAAACACCCCCTAAACACGGTACCACTTTTGTCAAAAATGCATGCCAACATGTGCCATTGGGTTAAAAAAATACAATTCTCGTTTTTTAAAGAGTCAAACAATTTTACATTTGATCAAATTTATAAAAAAAGTATAAACACTTATGATATCGGATATATATTATTAGAGTATTGACCATGTAATGTTTTTATAACAAATTTGATTTAGAGATATAAATGTTGACATTAGTTTCTTTAAACTTAGTCAAACTTTATTTAAAAAAATTCAAAGTCTCAAAAAGAGTACGTGGAAACAGATAAAAAAGGAACTCCTTAAATGGAAATTGAAAAGAAATATGACTTGGTTTAATTTTAGAATTGTATTTTTTTTTGGGGGGGGGGTTGCGCGGGGTGATGGGAGTAGTAGTTTGGGTGATTTTGAAAAAGGATACATGAGTTGTTGACTAATGGGACATTGCGGGGCACGTTCCGCGGTGGACCGGTGACTACAAATATCTGAATGGCAGTTCAGTTCACACAAACAGTTCGTACAATCAGTACTCCTCGTCTACCAAAAAGTACGTGTACATCAACAGCACATCAGCGTATATCAGATGCACTCGTACCAGTACAAACTCGGGCAGGGACATAACAAATTGATCTCATCCCATGGCAATGGCAGGCTTCACACATCACAGGAAATTGCACATAAACCTTTATTTGAGCTACATAAGCTGGAAATGCGTGCAAGCAGGAAATACCACCATTCCCATTTCAGCTCACACTTTCAGTGTCACCGTCAAACAACTGACAAATTCTCTTGTTCATCAAACATTGATGCCAAGCTGCCAACAAGTGTGGATTATGGTTATAGCTGCAGTACCATCAGCACCATCAACATTAAACCGGCTGCCCATCACCACATGGCACATGTGTATAACATCTCAAACTTTCTTTCTGTGCCTCGTTATCTCCACGCCCAGATAGTCCAGGATGCCTTGCACTGCGACGTGAGGCTTGCCAACCTTCACTCGGACTGCAGAGATCTGAGGGAACTTGAGCAGTGTGGCCTTTGCGATCGAGTGAGCCACCGACTCCAAGAGGTTGTGTGGCGTGCCTTCGACAACATCCTTAGCAATGCTGGGGGAGGGGGTTTAAACAAAACTAATTGTCAGGGGTTCTGATAAAACATCTTGGGAAAGGATTCTTGGACTCTGAAATGTGTGTCTAGAACTCTACACCCTCCCAGAGCAGGCAAAGAAGGTCTAACCAAATCTAAGACTTGATTGATATAACGGTTCCATTCAGGACTTACATTACAGAACTGAGTTGAGGAGAAGAACAATTAGATTTTCTTATATTAGAGGGTAGTCAATCAACGAAAGAAAAAGCTGAATATATAATGCCCTAATGCCAGCTGTAAATTATAGTAATCCCCAGTCTGCTACCAACTGAAATTTTGAAACCAATAATTCAGAGGCACATAGGCCGCCTGTAACGCTATGCTAGTTTAAATATGCTATATTGCAGCTCATGGTCAATCCAAATCCCCAGCTCAGTTCCAAGTACCCAACTGCAAATCAAAGTGTATCTAAAAAAATGTCATCTAGACTTGTACGCCAACGACGTGAGGTGGGGTGGGGATTTTTTTTTAAGTGCCAGGCAGGGATAAAAACATACTACTAGCATGATAAGGAAATCTGAAACAACGTGTTTAGAAACTATGTTGGGACTCTGAAGTAGTGAAGTGTATGTATGTCCTCTCCAAAGCAAGTGGATTGTACAATCGGAATTCGGGAGCAGGACCCTGCACACGTTCTAAACTTATATACTGGTGTCAACATGAAAAATATCATTTCGTAATAACAACAATTTCCGAGCAGACCTCTGAAACAGCATCGTGATTCATCCTGAAACAAGGAGATTCACTACTCTTTTCTAGAGGAGATTACTACGGACTGAAATCAGGGAAGCTGCATACATATACGATGATCTCGTGCCACTCTAGTAAGTATACCAGTTGAAATTCCGAAAAGAATGCTAATTTCTACAAATTTGTTGTTCCAATCAATCATCGTTAAGTCTGGCATACCACTACTCACCCGTAGATGTCGGTGTAGCTGACGGTGTCAGCGATGCTGTCGGACTCGCCGGCGGCGGCGAGGTCCATCCAGGCGTCGATGTCGACGACGAACTTCTGTCCCAGCGTCTGCTCCTCCTTCAGGACGCCGTGGAAGCCGTGGAACTGCAGGCCGCGCAGGATGAGCTTGTCGCCGCCGCAACCCGTCGTCGCCGCCTCCTCCGCCATGGATGGGCCGAGCAGCAGTTCCGGTTCGCCTCGCAGTCTCGCACAGCACGCGGGAAACGAGAAGCGATTAAATAAGGGAGGCGGACGGGGAAGGGGTAGGGCGGGCACGCGGAATCGGTGGATGACCGGACCGGAGCAGTGGACGGGAGGGGATTGCGGATTGCCGGATTGGTTGGCTCGGCTGGCGGTGGCCGTGGCCCGTGGCGGCTGTGGAGCGTGGAGAGTTGACGAGGGAAGGGAAGGCACAGTTTGGGCCTTTATTGGGCTTCTGTGTTGTTCGTTGGCCCACGACTGGCATTGTTAATTTACATAAAAAAAAGGTTTGAATTGAAAGACAAAAAAGAACATTCCGTTGCCGGGACTCGAACCCGGGTCTCTCGGGTGAGAGCCGAGTATCCTGACCAGGGCCTTGTTTAGATTGCAAATTTTTACAATCTGGATACTGTAGCACGTTTTGTTTGTATTTGATAAACTTTGTCCGATCATGGACTAACTAGGCTCAAAAGATTCGTCTCGTGATTTACAACCAAACTGTGTAATTAGTTATTTTTTTACCTATATTTAATGCTCTATGCATGTGTCCAAAAATTAATGTGATGGAAAAAGAGAGTGAAAAAACTTGGAATTTGGAGGTGATCTAAACAAGGCCCAGCTAGACTACAACGGATTTTGCTCAAGTGCTATGTGTAAGCTTTATTGTATAAACTTTCCTATATTCCTTCAAAGGAATATTTGTGACATTTAGATTTCTCAAAAAAGTTGCTATATGAGTAATTTGCTAGCCAATACGTATAGGAGTCAGACTTCGTTTCATCGCTAGATGCGAGCTGTTCTAACTTATAGGAGCGCGGGTTACATACGAGATACTTAGGGTGGGACCCAATACGTAGTGGAATCGGACTCCATATTTATCATCGATACACGAGTTGTCCTAAGTCGTATGAATATGAGTCAAGAGTTCGGGATACATATGAGACATAGACAAAGGACGTGACTGCAGTTTGGAAAGTAAAAGGAGGAAGAGGAGGGGAGATATTTTAAGTCGCAAAAGGGGGCTCTTGGTGGTTGTGGTTTCAGTCCAAACTGGCTCGATCATCAGCCTTGATGAAGCATTTTGTAGCAAAAATGGTTTGGCTGAGAGCATCTCTGCAGTACCTTAATACTTCTCATTATCTCTATAAAACTGTTATATTGAGGATAACAATATTTTTTCTCCTACAATTCCCCAATACCTCTTTTTTGTGTTGTCACAAACATTCCCCTCATCTCCCCTCAAATAAAGTGGAGTTGTATCTCCCTAATGACATGGAGACTATGAGAACTAACATTTTTCAACCATCTTTTGTCCTACACTCCTGTGGGACCTACCTTTATATAGTTATTATGGAACATATATTGCGGGGATGATGGCGGCGGCGTGCGACACATCGGGCGGCAGAGCGCGCATGGTGGCAGGGTTGCGCGGCCTCGCTCGCTCGTCGGCTTGCAGCACGGCGGGCAACAGGGTGCTGAGTCACAACGGAGGAAAGGAAAAAAAAAAAAGAAACGAACTATTATTTGTGTAATCAGTGGTTAGTTGTAGGTAATTTTTTCTGACTCCACGGATCTCTAAGTTTGCAGAGCACCTCTGAGGTGCTTCACGAAATCCATGGATCAGGGACACATCTACGGTGGATCTACGTGAAGCTAGAGGAGTTTGACTTTGAAAAAGTGGATCCAGAGATGTTTGTTATAGATCCAGAGTTGTTGGAGCTGCCAAATAGACTCTACGTTGAATTTGTTTGCTAGAACCAACGGCAGCAAGGTAGATTCGTACGGGTATCTACGCCCTCCCTCATCCTGGACAACAACCTCTCCGATGACAACTATTTGGATGAACAAATGTACGTGGTCATTATGCCTTTATGGTTTGATATCTTCTGGTTGCAGTAGGCCAGTAGCTTTTTCTGAAAGAGAAGTTTGTGCTAGGACCTGGCAGTCTTCTCTTCCTTGTCGCTAGACTTCGATTCAATCTTATATGCAAATGGTAGAGATATCGAATTCCTATAATCCATACTCATAGAGTTAGGATAGCTCATTTCTAGTAATGATAAATACATAATTTCAATATATATTAGATCGTGCCCTACATATTTTGTATATTTTTTTTTAAAACAATGGCAGGAGCTCTGCCTTTCAATTATGATGAATGATGTTTTATGTACATGAAAGGGTAGCCCAATGTGATGCCAAGCACCACAAAAGGCTAGCCCACCCACGCGACGCGACACCCTATGAAGCCAGGCAGTCAGGCCCGAAGCAAGAGGTCATAACAGGTCATCGTTGCCGAGCTCAAATATCACGAAGAGCAGCTCCGACTTCGTGTCTTGATCCCACGCCCCGCCCACAGCAATTGCCGGGCCTCCCAAGCCGAATCACAGTCAACGAAGAAGGGGTTCGCCCCGTGTCATCGTTGCCGAGCCACACCCCCTGATGTGGCAGCTCCGACTTCACGATGCAGTTCCCGCCGTCTCACGTCGACCGAGCGCTAAGAAACACATAACAACCACCGAAGGCGACATCACGGCCAAGACGAAACTTCCAAAAGCGACGCCTTTAGGAAGGGAACGACGCCGAATAGCGCCGCCGTCGCTCGTCCAAGGAATGGACTGGGTTTTCACCCGTGGAAGGCACTGTTGGGATATCATTGGGACTCATGATCCGTGCTCATACGAGTTAGGACAATATGCATCTAGTAGCGATGATACATAGTCGATCTTATATGTATTGAGTTCCATTGCAACATACGAACATGTTTGCTAGTATATATATATATTAAAAATAGAGATAAATATATATTAGCCGTACTTAAACTAGTTGTGTCAGTGCAGAAAGTGACCAACACGTAAATATTTATAGTTTTGTTGTACGTTATGATCGGATGTGGCCTAGCACTCAATGACACAGGGTTTATACTGGTTCAGACAACGTGCCCTACGTCCAGTTTGAGTCGGTCGGTGACTTTATTCCTGAGCCCAGGTGCTCAAAGTTTGTAGTGGGGTTACAAACGGAAAGAAAGATGGGGGGTACAAGAGGTCCGGTCGGACTCTGGTCTGAAGGGCCGAGAGTGACGGGAGCTCCGCTATGTGCTAAGTGTTCGAGCGTATGCTCGAGGTTTGAACCTGGTGGTCCTGTTGTGGTATACTGAATCGATCTGTCTGTTTGGGAGAGAGCGCACCCCCTTTTATAGATGAAGGGGATGACCTTACAAGTGAGAGGGGAGAGAGAGAGTGTATGTACGATAAGTCTTATTGCCCACGCCGTCGGGTACAAGATGATTGTAGGCGCCCATAACACTGTTAATGTCAGGTGCATGTGGGATGTTGCGTCGTCTTCTTTTGGTATGGCAGATGTCGGTGCCTGCCATACTGTTGATACCTAGAGGCATGTAGGGGGTTTTACCGTGTTTGCCTGATACGGTAAATGCCGGCGCCCACAACACTGTTGAGGCCCAGAGGCATGTGGGGGGAGCCTTACCATGTTTGTCTGGTATGGGAGTTGATGGCGCCCACAACACTATAGGAAAAATGTCGGCGCCTACAACACTGCTTGGGAAGGTCACAGGGTACTGTCCTACAGGTGTACAGGGTATGGTTCTTAGTATTGCCGTTGACTTGAGTGTCCCTACTTTACTTTCTTCGTCCATTTCCTGGTCCTTATCGAGCGGGCCTCCCCGGTCGATTGGTCCTAGTTGGCTCTGATTGCGCCAGTTGGAGAAGAGCTATGAGCAAGGGTTCGGTGTATCCCCGGTCGGAGACGTGGGTCAAAGTTAGAAGTGGTGTTTGGCTAGGCGTTCTGGTCGGAGAGACCGTCCGGAGGCGGGCTAGAGTCAGAGGCGAGCGCTCCGGTCGGAGAGGTGGGCCGGAGTTGAAAGCGGACGCCGTTCCTCCTTGGCAAGGCCTTCCAGTCGAAGATTGGATCGCCCTTTTAGCCTATCGTTTAGGTATTTAGGCCAGCCAAGGAAAAGGTCCTAATGGCTAGACGGGGGGGGGGTGAATAGCCTAATAAAAAATTCTACAATAACACTAAACAAAAAGGTTAGACAATTATGAGGCGAAACAAGTGTTGCGCTAGCCTACTCAAAATGCAAGCCACCTACCACAATTCTAGTTTAGATAGTATCTATTCACACAATAGCTTTGACACTACTCTATGTTAGTATGCTCTCAAAGGCTAACTAAAGAGCCACACCAACCAAGCAAGCAAGCTCTCACAACTAACTACACTAAAGAGCTTGACAACTAGTTTGCGATAATGTAAAGAGAGTGATCAAGAAAGTTATACCACCGTGTAGATGAAGAAACCAATCAATCACAAGAATAAATAACAATGAAGACCAATCACCTCGGAATCAATGATAAACACAATGATTTTTTACCGAGGTTCACTTGCTTGCCGGCAAGCTAGTCCTCGTTGTGGCGATTCACTCACTTAGAGGTTCACGCGCTAATTGGCTTCACACGCTAAACCCTCAATAGGGTGCCGCACAACCAACACAAGATGAGGATCACACAATCCACGAGCAATCCACTAGAGTACCTTTTGACGCTCCGTCGGGGAAAGGTCAAGAACTCCTCACAATCACCATGATCGGAGCCGGAGACAATCACCGCCCTCCGCTCAACGATCCTCGCTGCTCCAAGCCGTCTAGGTGGCGGCAACCACCAAGAGTAACAAGCGAAACCTGCAGCAAAACACGAACACCAAGTGCCTTTAGATGCCATCACTCAAGCAATGCACTTGGATTCACTCCCAATCTCACTATGATGATGAATCAATGATGGAGATGAGTGGGAGGGCTTTGGCTAAGCACACAAGGTTGCTATGTCAATGGAAATGGCCAAAGATATGAGCTATAGCCAGCCATGGGGCTTAAATAGAAGCCCCCATGAAATATAGCCGTTATACCCCTTCACTGGGCATAACGCGGGCTGACCGGACGCTCTGGTCAGTTGACCGGA